AGAATAGTCTGTGGTCGTCATCTATGCTCCGCTAGATGGCTAGATCATCTTAAACATTGAGGCCTCTCATCATTTTAGCACACATCAACTATTTCATCTACCCATGTTTTACCCAACATTTTCGTAGATATAAAATACATATACAGTTTAAATCATTTAGAACATGTATAAATCGTTCATCCCTCATAGATATCAAGAACACAGATAATATGCACACATAGCACGTAATTTATATTAAATACTTCATATTTATGTGTAAGATGAAAGTAACGATGCACTCACTTGATAAGGTGGTGACTCGGTACTCGGACAGCGCTTCGTTTAAAATAATTTCCTTCGACGAAACCCAGTATTATTACCACTAGATTTTAGTCTAATATTTATTGTGACTAATTATTAGTCTTATTATTATTATTATTATTATTATTATTATTATATAAGCGTTTAAACAATATTTTCCAACCACTATGTACAGACAGGGGTCAGACATAAAACACCGGAGGGCAGGACCATTTTGACATATAGCACTTATGAAATCCAACAACCCTATGCGGCCGTTTAAACCATATTTCACGTACCGCGAGTAGTTAAAAAGATATTATAACGACACTTATATAAGTCATAATAATAGCTCAAATATTTATTATAAGTTCATAATAACAATACTAATTTTAAATATAAACTATATTTAAAATAGGGTAAGCATAACTTACTTACAATGGAGTTTTAGCTAGGAGCCGAGCTCTACAGGGGCAGAACTTCGTCGCTGAATCTTTGTAAGAAAGATTCGTGCAGTGCTTCAGCGCTCACCTTACTATACTAAAACTACAGAAAGAGAAGTCGAATCACGAGGGACCGAAATGCTCAGGGGATAAGAAGAGAAAGACTCTTGAATCAAGAGAATGGTGCAAGAAATATGAGAGCCCAAGGCTCTTATTTATAGTAATTGAATTTACAAAAACTACCCTCCATAATTACTTAATGACCTTATAGTTATATAAACTACTAAACACCCCTTTATAATACTATTTTAAATAGATTTAATGATATTTGTACTAAACTAATGTCGAAAGTACTCAACATTAGTCTTATAACGACCGCATCGTCGATACCTTTCTAACGATATATACATATGTATATGTATGTATACGTATATATGATTTACATTTTATTTTAATACGTAAACGTGCTATTAAAAATTATAACTCGTTCATACGAACTTCGTTTTTGACGTTCTTTATATCCATGTGTAGCTATCGACGAAATATACAACTTTCGTTTAGACTCCGTCGGCTAGCTTTGAATTTGTATTTTTGTCCATTTTTTTATAAAATTAAATGATTTTGCTAAAATCATAACTCTCTCGTACGAACTCAGTTTTTGGCATTCTTTTTCTCAAAATTCCTATTTTAATGAATACTACGATTTTTATTTTGGTCGCATTAGCTAAAAGTCAACCATTCTCTTCGTAGCTTTTTACGTCGTATATTCGTTGTGCGCGGCTGACTTTTATATCTTATAAAAATCATATCTAATTCATACGGATTCGGATTTCGACTCAATTTATATTTTCGGGATCGGGACGACGTATACTTCCTAAATATAATATATATATATATATATATATATATATATATATATATATATATGTTTTGGCGCACTTATTTTTACGATTTACGGACGATTCGACTGATTTTTCCTATTTTATTATCTAACCTAATAAATAAGAATGATTTTGCCAAATGTCATTCTCTCATTCAACTGGGCACATGTCATTTTGTCATAATTTTGAGATATATTTATTTTCCGCTTGTCATTTACTTCATTTTTCATTTTCAATATATCATTAATTTACTTTCCCTAAATTAAACCTACCGTAATAACTATTAATTTTAAACTTTAAATTTTAAATTTCAATTTCAATTTCAAATAAATTTACAGTTTAAACATTTGTGTTTAACATTTTGTTATAATTAACCAGTTTAATACACAAGTCTGATAAGCAAATACATAATTTTGATTAATTTATTTTTTGCATGTTTTTTTTCCCATAACTTTTTAAATTCAAATAAACTTTTTCATTTAATTGTTTTTATTTAACATTTTGTTTAAATCAACCTGTATAATATACGGGTATGACAACTAGTATTATAATAATCATGAAACATATAATATTCAAATAATTATTCTTTATTACGTCGAATAGGTTACAATTGTTAACCCTAACTATTACTTTGGTTAAGATTAATCTTTCTAAATAATCTTCTACCAAAAAGTCATTTTTAGCGCTTATTGTCTCTAAATTTACTAGCCCGATTCTGCGGGCGTTACACTATATCTGATCAAGAAATTTAAAAAGATAGACATATTTAATTAGTGTATAGCCTATTGATATAATTATTTATATCTACACTAAAACATGTATAATATCGAACAATATACTACATAGATTTGTTTGATATGTTGACATTGTCTTCCATTAGAAAGAGTATTCTAAAATGCATGTATATTTTAAAGTACATTCCAAAATACAATTTTCAATCCAGAACATATAGTGTGTCGCATTCTAGACACAAATCCAACCTACCACCAACTCCGGAATAAACATAAATACTCCAAAATATCGTAATTCGACATCCATATTTTGGAATACATTTCGTTAGTCCGAAATGTACGATTGTTAGATTTCGGAGCTAATACCTTCAAACAACCCCATATCCAGCATGACCATACCTACTCCGAAATACGATATTTGTTATTTTTATTATCACTCATTTATAAGGCTTAGATTTTTCCAAAATCTAACATCATCTGCAGTTAAAAGAGTCTTGTCCCCAAAAACTTTGTGAACCCTAAAAAATCTAACCAAGTCACCACATGTTGCTCCTTGTCGATATCTACAAACCAAACATTTTTCCAACGGCTAACCCCCAACCAAACCTTGAGAGGAGTTTCACATTTAAAAAATTAAAACAATTATTGCCTTCAAATTCATAGTCACATAACGGGCATAAAAGAGATGACATATCCAAGACTCGCCCATCTCGATACTTTGCTAGAACATGACATTTTTTTTCTTGGTACATGTTTGTTCCCACTAGTAAGAAACGATGCATCCAACAAAATCGTACAGGAATTCAAGGTAACCAAATCCCAAATATACTTGTCCATGCCATTCAACAGTCTCACAGTAACTAGCAAAGATTAAAATGTATTTATCTGTTGCTTTTGTCCAAGCCATTCGTTATTTTTATCATTCAAATTCCAATTTAGTTTAGCTTATGTTATATTGTGAATTGGTTTGCACATTAACCATTATATTAAATGCATCGGCGAGCTCTTTTTGAATTTTAAATAACAAAATAGTTATATCAAAAAGAGTATATAACTGAATGGTAAACAAATTAATCAGCTATGTGTTAAGACTTTTTTTACTGTGTACAAGTTAAAGAAATATGCAGAATTCACCAAAGCATCGTTTTTACCAATTGAAATACAATTCGTGAAGATTGAAACGAGAATTTGTCAACAATAGCGAAAATCAATGAGGGTTTATTTATTCTCATCCGAGAATATGAGTTCAAAACTATATAAATTGCCACAATACAATAAGCAAAACTTTCGAAACAAGTGTATAAATTTTCAGAAATGACTCATCTAACAAAATGTAGTAGTTAATAATAAATCAACCTTTTTGTATCTAAAAAAATTTACAAAAATTTTAAAAAATCTGGACCTAAACAAGTGAGGATATTGATTTGTTGGGTACATATGAGGCAGTTCCCTGAATTAAACACGACGGAAAAACAAGGAGAAACGTGCAAACCCTTGAGGCTGCCCCCATGATATCCATATATTGATATAGGCCGGGTGAAATAGAGATCTCGTTTTCATATTCATCGCGAGATCCCATTGGATCGGCCATTCCTAGCTCTATTTGAAGCTAATTTACAGTGAAATAATCGAGGAAACTACCTTCCCTGATATATATTTGAAGCAAAAGTTTGTGAATTTAAGATTGGAAAGCATGTAAAACCTCGATTTGAGCAAAAGCAAGTGAGAAGCTCGCTTCGACGGAGTAAACCAAGGGCTAATTTGTTATATGCCGGCAACGGAACTCAGGCGACATGGCCGAAAGGCGCTCGACTGGTTCTCTCAAAAGGCAATGCGAAATTCAAGAAGAATGTGTTTGCTATTTATCACCGATTGTAATCTTTCAATTTCGTAACCCTAAGGCCCAATTTGATTCAATAAAATTGGGTTGTTTTACTTATATATGGGCCTCTTTTAAACTATAAAAACCTCCTCACTTCTTTTTGTATTTTTGGTCTCAGGTTATTGATGTTTATTTTATTTTAATTTTTTTTGGTTTTAAAAGGTTTTCTTATATACTTTTGGTATTTATTTTAGGTTATGGTAATATTTTTGTTTTTTTTAAGTAAAATGATTATTTTTTATCGATAAAATTGCAAAATTTGTAAAATTCGGTTATACTTGGTGTGAAAAAAATAACCATTTTACTTGGAATATAGGTTGTATCAAATCATGACCAAAATTAGAAAAGAAATTATTTGGAATAAAAATTGCAAAACTCATTGCATCAAATAATGCCCAAATTTAGAAAAGAAATCTTCAGCGATCAAAATTGCAAAACTCAACTATAACTAGAGAGAGAAAAAAATTATTTTTTTCAAAGTATAATTTGGATAGAAAAAGAGTTTCATAAATACTACAACTTCCTATTTTCAATTTTTTTTTTTCTTAATAGATCATTATACTTTGAAAATTCTATCCGATGATATATTTTAAATTCTCAGCTTCTTTTCTTATTATTACCAAGCTATATCAGTGAAATTGATTTGTATATAGATATTGTGTAGATTTTTGAAAGGACAATGTTATATTTGGAAGAATTGAAAGTAAAATGTTACTATAATAAACAAATTAAAAAAAGGTACCATAACATTTCTTGTATTTTACCATAGATTATATCACGACATTGACAAATTATAGTATTTTTTATGGTGGAAAATAGGACAAATTGGCAACAAAGATTGAATCATGAGATACAAGTAACCAACTGCAGTAAACTACAAAATGAGATGCATCTATATATTAAGCTTACAAATTTGATTCAAAAAACGATAATAATATCAAATAAGCAACTTTTCTTCATAGTAGATCTATAACTTCTATCCCGATGATCTAAACATATGAACAACCTCCATAACCTGAAAAATCGGTGCAAATATCTTCATTTTCAGCTAATGAATATCCAAATATATCGAATAAATTAAAACATGAACTTGAGTTCAAATTTTTCATTGACACGATAAAGAATTATAGATGATCACTTACTTGGGTCACTAACTGTAACAAGACCCGAGTTTTCAAACTCACAATTCCAAGCGTTTCTTCCTTTAGACTGGTAATACAAGTTCATGGCAACTGAAGCATGGTTGAATACATTGGCAGGTGTAGCACACGCGCCACCTTGTTGCAAACAACCACAGTCCACTTGTGAGCATGCAAAGTTTATATTTTTCAAAAGAGTCGCCAAGCTGGACGATGGTTTTGCCACACACCAAGTTTTCTGCAACCCCATTAGAAAAAGTTGGATAATTTTAGTTACATGTTACATAATCTTGAAAGTAATTAGTAATATGAGAATTCTTGATTTGATTAATTTATTTACCTGTGCATGAACTGATATCAAAGTCCCAACTGAAGAACATCAAGAAGGAAAAGAAATAAGATTCAAACGAGATTTATAGGTGTAAAAGTTTATATCAGATTTGATTAAAGCACTCGAAGTATAATGTAATATGCCATTGATGAGCACATGATACCTGAAAGAAAGAACAACAGGAAGATGAAAGCAGAAGCAGATTGTTTCCCAGCCATTTGATCGTCTGTTATGGTGTCTGTGTGTGGAAGCATAAAGAGGTATTTAATGGAGGCTCGATGGATCTATCATCTATATATGCACATATTCTTTCAGAATCTATGGAAAAGGAAAAAGGGTTTACAGATTTTGATTACTTCAAAACTTTACAGCTATATTTGTTCCTTGCATCTTTTCCAATGACGTGGAACTCATGCCTGAAAACTGGTACTTTATATGGGATTTATCTCGTTTCACCTTTTTGACGTTGGGAAAAGATAGGAAATGTAAAATGGGTGTGCATCAGATTTTCATTTTTATGGTATCTTAAATTGTTTATGTTAAAAGAGAAAATAGTGGGACAAGAGTGAAATACAAGGTGAATTGAATGTGACTTGAGAGTTGAGATCTGCAATAGATTGATGAGTTTGAGGTACTTTAGGCCATGTGACTTCTGTATCAGTTTCATACTAGCTTTTTTTTTTATATATATATAATATACACTAAGAACCATAATATGAAAGGTAATATTTTATCCATCATTTTTACAAGTAATAAAAGTAATTAAACTAAAGATAAAAGATAGTGGAGTTCTTCATTTAATATGGTGAATTAAACCGATACAAAATCTAGGAGATGATAGGTAGTATGGGAAGGTATATATAAGTCGTTTTGCAGCTATTTGACACACACACACAACAAGTTTAAAGAAGGTTGCAACTTGCAATAAAGAAAAATAACTAATATTATTAAACATTGATCGAATGTTATTCAAATTTCACATGTGATTAAATTGATTATATGGTAATAGGAATGAAAAAAAAACACATACCAGCGCCGATTGGAACATGAAACCCACACTCGGTTTGATCAGAGAATCCCCAAATAAAAAAACGGGGATGGAGATGAGGATGCCCCTAGTCCCTGACCCTGGATCCGACCTCGATGGATTTTAATATATAAAAATAATACAAAACATATAATTATAGTAAAATTTACAATACCTAAAATTTGATCCAAGTGTTCAAACTCATTACTAATTACTTGGTTGAAGTTATATTTTTCGTTTATCGTTTATCTAATTTAACCTCTATATAATTTTTTTCCTTGGTGTATCTATTGTTACCTCAAATATCACTATGATAATCTTTTTCTATTTGATTTTTCATGTATGTATTTAAATTTGGTAGAAAATTTGTTTATGGTATTTAAGCAATTTACGAATATTTTTATGTTTTTGCAAAAATCTTTAAATTAGGAATAGATGGACTGTCTATAGGACCCGTTTTATTAACATGATTTATCACTACTTCAGCTACTTTAGCAGCCTGGCCTGTTACTCGGGATTCTCGATTATTCCATTTCTTGATGTTAGCAATGTACAGTGGTCAAATAGGATCATTTTCTTCTCGGGACTGTAACGACGTAAATTTTAAAACAATTTTTTTCATTTTTCCACATAATAAAACTCATATAATATTCTCAAAATCTCATGTATCAAATGTCATCATAATAAAACATATCCCAGAATCTCAAATACATAATCCTCTATCAGTGTGTACAGATCACGTCGGCGCCTTCCCGTGATCCTCGCTAGTACCTGAAACACATATCACATAACACAGTAAGCATAAATGCTTAGTGAGTTCCCCAAAATACTACATACATCACATAAGCCACTCGAGGCTGTAGCTCTACGAGACCTTCCGGTCAATGTGTCTCAGGGGCCTTCCGGTCCCACAATCTGAGTAGACCTTCCGGTCCTACTCTTTCGACCTTCTGGTTCATACCATATTGACCTTCCGGTCCATACACTACTGACCTTCCGGTCCATACCATACTGACCTTCCGGTCCATACCATTCTTACTCAATACATACATAGCACATACATATCACATAAAAACATATATCACATACTCGTCATAGCACATAAGACCTTCCGGTCACACATAATTACCACTTTAGGTAAGGTATAGTGAGAAAACTCACCTCGTATGATGTCTAGTAAACTCTCGTGCTCGATATCCCCGATCTAGCCTCCGCCTAATCACATAAAGTAATTTATCTTATTAACACGATTCTCATAGGCTAGACTAATCTCTTCCTATAATTTCCCAGAAGGGAAAAATACCATTTTACCTCTCCAGTGGTCCAGTGGTCCAATGTCCAAATGTTGACCAAACCCTAAAAGTCAACCTCAGTCAACGGTCCAACTTTGACCAGACTCGTCGAGTGCACTCGGGTGACTCGGTGAGTCCATGTGTGTCCTCTGAATCCTCCTAAGGCCTCACTCGACTCGTCGAGTTAACCTTTTTCTAAACGGGCTACCACTGATCATGAATCGTGGTGCAACACGATCCGACTCGTCGAGTCAACTCATGGACTCGGTGAGTTTCTTCCATGGCAATACTCATTTGACCTTCTGAGGTCAGATCTGTTTCTCTAACTTATAGATCTGGCCTTCTAACACCCAATAATCACGTAAAGGTCTGAACTTGGTGTCCATGCATGGCATTTTGGGCATGAAATGCCAAGAACATGATTTAAATGGGGTTTTCACTCATAAATACCATCAAGGTTGAATAAAGCAGGAACCTTTGGGTGCTAGAGACCTCCTAAGGTCCAGATCTTGAGTTCAAGCCTCCTCATGAACCCCAAATCCTCAAAGTCCCAAAATGAAAGGAAAAGAAGCCCTAATCTTCAAGATGAGAGATCTACTCAAATAAAAGGGAAAGGTTTGAACTTGATACCTCTAATAGAAGCTCTTGGACGAATAAGCAGTAGATCTATCAGCCTCTTCTCAATCCTAGCTTGGAATCTTCCTTTCCTTCACCAAAATGCACTCACAAATCTCAAGTAAGGCTCAAGACTCTCTCACAAGCTCAAGGGGCGATTAGGGTTTATTCTCAGTGAGGTGTGGCCGCAAATGAGGCTATAAGTGCCTTTAAATAGGTCCCAAACTCGGGGATCTAGGGTTTCCACTTATAGCGCCTACTCGGCGAGTCTACTCTTGGACTCGTCGAGTAGTTCATTAAACTCACGTGGCCACCCTACTTCTACTCGACGAGTTATAGCACCAACTCGTCGAGTAGATCAATGATCCTCAAAAATAAATAATTAAAAATAACATACCTGAAAATCCGGATGTTACAATTCTCCCCCACTAGAATCAGACTTCGCCCTCGAAGTCTTACTCTGCAAACAATTCTGGATGCTGCTCCCGCATCTCTGACTCCGGCTCCCAAGTCAGCTCGGACCATCTCCGATGTTGCCACTGGACCTGAACCATGGGCACCTCTTTGTTCCTCAGCACCTTGATCTTCCGATCCAAGATCGCGATCGGCCTCTCAATGTAATTCAAACTCGCGTCCACCTGAATATCCTCTAGCGGCACAACCGTCGTCTCATCGGCTATACACTTCCTCAACTGGGATACATGGAAGGTATCATGGATCTGACTCAACTCCTCGGGTAGCTCCAAACGGTATGCTACCTTACCCACCCTCGCGGTCACCCTGAACGGACCAATGTATCGGGGCCCCAGCTTGCCCCTCTTCCTGAATCGGATCACTCCTTTCCAAGGAGATACCTTCAGGAGTACGAAATCTCCAACCTGAAACTCGAGCTCGGATCGCCGTCTATCCGCATAACTCTTCTGACGGCTCTAGGCTGTCAGTAACCTCTGTCTGACCTGCTATATCTGCTCAGTCGTCTTAAGCACTATCTCAGTGCTACCCATCACTCGCTTCCCTACCTCTCCCCAACAGATGGGAGTTCGACACCTCCTCCCATAAAGAAGCTCAAAGGGAGGCATACCAATACTCGAATGGTGGTTGTTGTTGTAAGAAAACTCAGTCAAAGGTAGGTATGTGTCCCAACTTCCACCGAAGTCCATAACACATGCTCGAAGCATGTCCTCGAGTGTCTGAATCGTCTGCTCACTCTGCCCGTCCGTCTGTGGGTGATAAGTAGTACTGAAGTGCAATCTCGTACCCAACTCCTCATGAAACTTCTTCCAGAACCTGGAAGTAAAACGTACATCTCGGTCTGACACAATCGAGATCGGCACTCCATGCCGCGACACCACCTCTCTCACATATATTTCTGCCAGCCTCTCCGTAGAAGAGCTCTCACTGATAGCAAGGAAGTGAGTGCTCTTCGTCAGCCAGTCCACAATCACCCAGATTGCATCAACACCCCTCGCGGTCCTCGGCAATTTGGTGATAAAATCCATAGAAATCTGTTCCCGCTTCCACTGGGGAACCTCTAATGTCTGCAACTTGCCATGCAGACGCTGGTGCTCGGCCTTAACCCGGCGACAGGTCAAGCACCTCTCCACAACCCATGCAACATCCCTCTTCATACAGGGCCACCAGTAGTCTCTCTTCAGGTCCAAATACATCTTAGTGGCCCCGGGATGGATCGAAAATCTCGATCTATGCGCCTCCTCCAACAGAGTGCTACGTGCCCCGCCTGTATACGGCACCCAAATCCGACCACGAAAGGTCATGAGCCCTCGGCTATCCGTCACAAACTCGGACACCTGTCCAATCACCCACTCCCTTTTGCGGTTCTCCGGTCTCATAGCCTCTGCTTGGGCCTCTCGTATAGTGTCCAACACCGGAGTCATCACCGTCATCCTCATACATATGTCTCGAATCGGGGCACTCTCCGTCCTACGGCTCAGGGCATCGGCTACCACGTTAGCCTTGCCAGGGTGGTACAGGATCTCACAGTCATAATCCTCTACCACATCCAACCATCTCCTCTGGCGCATATTCAGGTTGGGTTGATCCATCAGATACTTCAAACTCTTGTGGTCCGTGTATATGGTACACCGAACCCCATACAAATAATGGCACCATATCTTGAGGGCGAATACCACTGCCCCCAACTCCAAATCGTGGGTGGGATACCTCGTCTCATGAGGCTTCAGCTGTCTCGATGCATATGCTATCACGTGCCCTATCTGTATAAGCACCACACCCAACCCTGATATAGACGCATCACAGTAAACCATAAAATCCTCCATTCCCTCCGGAAGGGCTAACACTGGGGCTTCGCATAGTCTCTGGCGAAGAGTATCAAACGAGGTCTGCTGCTCTGGACCCCAGGAAAAAGCAACGCCCTTCCGGGTCAATCTAGTGAGGGGAACGACAATCTTGGAGAAATCCCGGATGAATCTCCGATAATAGCCGGCCAACCCCAGAAAACTCCTGATCTCGGTGGGGGATCTCAGCACCTCCCAACTCATGACAGCCTCAATCTTGGCCGGATCGACCAATATCCCATTCTGATTAACGAGA